GTAGTGTAGTGTGTAGTAGTGTAGTGTATAGTAGTGTAGTGTATAGTATAGTAGTGTAGAGTAGAGTGTATAGTAGTGTATAGTAGGATACTGTATAGTAGTGTATAGTGGTATAGTGTATGGTAGTGTATAGTAGTGTAGTGTATAGTAGTGTAGTGTATAGTAGTGTAGTGTATAGTAGTGTAGTGTACAGTAGCGTAGTGTATAGTGCAGTGTAGTGTATAGTGTAGTGTATAGTAGTATAGTGTATAGTAGTGTAGTGTATAGTATATAGTAGTGTAGTGTATAGTAGTGTAGTGTATAGTAGTGTAGTGTATAGTAGTGTAGTGTATAGTAGTGTAGTGTATAGTAGTGTAGTATATAGTAGTGTAGTGTATAGTAGTGTAGTGTATAGTAGTGCAGTGTATAGTAGTGTAGTGTATAGTAGTGTAGTGTATAGTAGTGTAGTGTATAGTAGTGTAGTGTATAGTAGTGTAGTGTATAGTAGTGTAGTGTATAGTAGCGTAGTGTATAGTGCAGTGTAGTGTATAGTGTAGTGTATAGTAGTATAGTGTATAGTAGTGTAGTGTATAGTGTAGTGTATAGTAGTGTAGTGTATAGTAGTGTAGTGTATAGTAGTGTAGTGTGTAGTAGTGTAGTGTATAGTAGTGTAGTGTATAGTAGTGTAGTGTATAGTAGTGTAGAGTAGAGTGTATAGTAGTGTATAGTAGGATACTGTATAGTAGTGTATAGTGGTATAGTGTATGGTAGTGTATAGTAGTGTAGTGTATAGTAGTGTATAGTGTAGTGTATAGTGTAGTGTATAGTAGTGTATAGTGTAGTGTATAGTGGAGTGTATAGCAGTGTAGTGTATAGTGTAGTGTATAGTGGAGTGTATAGCAGTGTAGTGTATAGTAGTGTAGTGCATAGTAGTGTAGTGTATAGTAGTGTAGTGTAATGTATAGTAGTGTAGAGTATAGTGTATAGTAGTGTATAGTAGTGTATAATAGTATAGTGTATAGTAGTGTAGTGTATAGTATTGTAGTGTATAGTGTAGTGTATAGTGTTGTGTATAGTGGAGTGTATAGCAGTGTAGTGTATAGTAGTGGAGTGTATAGTAGTGTAGTGTATAGTACTATAGTGTATAGTAGTGTTGTGTATAGTGTAGTGTATAGTAGCGTAGTGTATAGTGTAGTGTATAGTAGTGTAGTGTATGGTAGTGTAGTGTATAGTAGTGTGTAGTGTATAGTAGTGTAATGTATAGTGTAGTGTATAGTAGTGTAGTGTATAGTAGTGTGGTGGATAGTAGTGTAGTGTGTAGTAATTCTGGTGGATAGTAGTTTAGTGAATAGTGTAGTGTATAGTAGTGCAGTGTATAGTGTAGTGTATAGTAGTGTAGTGTATAGTGTAGTGTATAGTAGTGTAGTGTATGGTAGTGTATAGCAGTGTAGTGTATAGTAGTGTATAGTGTAGTGTATAGTAGTGTAGTGCATAGTAGTGTATAGTGTAGTGTATAGTAGTGTAGTGTATAATAGTATAGTGTATAGTAGTGTAGTTTATAGTAGTGTAGTGTATAGTGTAGTGTATAGTGGAGTGTATAGGAGTGTAGTGTATAGTAGTGTAGTGTATAGTAGTGTAGTGTATAGTAGTGTATAGTAGTGTAGTGTATAGTAGTGTAGTGTATAGTAGTGTAGTGTATAGTGTAGTGTATAATGGAGTGTATAGCAGTGTAGTGTATAGTAGTGTAGTGTATAGTAGTGTGTAGTGTATAGTAGTGTAGTGTATAGTAGTGTAGTGTATAGTAGTGTAGTGTATAGTAGTGTGGTGGACAGTAGTGTAGTGTAAAGTGTAGTGTATAGAAGTGTAGTGTATAGTGTAGTGTATAGTAGTGTAGTGTATAGTGTAGTGTATAGTAGTGTAGTGTATAGTAGTGTAGTGTATAGTAGTGTAGTGTATAATATAGTGTAGTGTATAGTAGTGTAGTGTATAATGTAGTGTTGTATATAGTAGTATAGTGTATAGTAGTGTAGTGTATAGTCGTGTATAGTAGTGTAGTGTATAGTAGTGTAGTGTATATTTTAGTGTATTGTAGTATAGTGTATAATGTAGTGTATAATATAGTGTAGTGTATAATGTAGTGTAGTGTATAATGTAGTGTAGTGTATAATGTAGTGTATAGCAGTGTATAGTGTAGTGTATAGTAGTGTAGTGTATAATGTAGTGTATAATGTAGTGTAGTGTATAATGTAGTGTAGTGTACAATATAATGTAGTGTATCATTTATTGTAGTGTATAATGTAGTGTATGATGTAGTGTATAATGTAGTGTATAATGTAGTGTATAATATAGTGTATAATGTAGTGCAGTGTATATAGTGTAGTGTATAATGTAGTGTAGTGTATAATGTAGTGTAGTGTATAGTGTAGTGTATAGTGTAATGTATAGTGTAGTGTATAGCAGTGTCGTGTATAATGTAGTGTATAGTATTGTAGTGTATAGTAGTGTAATGTATGATATAGTGTATAATGTAGTGTATAATGTAGTGTATGATGTAGTGTATAATGTAGTGTATGATGTAGTGTATAATGTAGTGTATAATGTAGTGTATAATCTAGTGTAGTGTATAATGTAGTGTAGTGTATAATGTAGTGTATAGACTGTGTAGTGTATAGTGTAGTGTATGATGTAGTGTATAATGTAGTGTATAATGTAGTGTAGTGTATAATGTAGTGTAGTGTATAATGTAGTGTAGTGTATAATATAGTGTAGTGTATAATGTAGTGTAGTGTATAATGTTGTGCATGATGTAGTGTATAGTGTAGTGTATAATGTAGTGCAGTGTATATAGTGTAGTGTATAATGTAGTGTAGTGTATAATGTAGTGTAGTGTATAGTGTAGTGTATAGTGTAATGTATAGTGTAGTGTATAGCAGTGTCGTGTATAATGTAGTGTATAGTATTGTAGTGTATAGTAGTGTAATGTATGATATAGTGTATAATGTAGTGTATAATGTAGTGTATGATGTAGTGTATAATGTAGTGTATGATGTAGTGTATAATGTAGTGTATAATGTAGTGTATAATCTAGTGTAGTGTATAATGTAGTGTAGTGTATAATGTAGTGTATAGACTGTGTAGTGTATAGTGTAGTGTATGATGTAGTGTATAATGTAGTGTATAATGTAGTGTAGTGTATAATGTAGTGTAGTGTATAATGTAGTGTAGTGTATAATGTAGTGTAGTGTATAATGTTGTGCATGATGTAGTGTATAGTGTAGTGTATAATGTAGTGTATAGTGTAGTGTATGATGTAGTGTATAATGTAGTGTGTAGACAGTATGTAGTGTAGTGTATAATGTAGCGTATAATGTAATGTATAATGTAGTGTATGATGTAGTGTATAATGTAGCGTAGTATATAATGTAGTATAGTGTATAATGTAGTGTAGTGTATAATGTAGTGTAGTGTATAATGTAGTGTATGATGTAGTGTAGTGTATAATGTAGTGTATAATGTAGTGTATAATGCAGTGTAGTGTATAATGTGGTGCAGTGTATAATGTAGTGTATAATGTAGTGTATAATGTAGTGTAGTGTATGATGTAGTGTATAATGTAGTGTAGTGTATAATGCAGTGTATGATGTAGTGTATAATGTAGTGTATGATGTAGTGTATGATGTAGTGTATAATGTCGTGTATGATGTAGTGTAGTGTATGATGTAGTGTAGTGTATAATATAGTGTAGTGAATAATGTAGTGTAGTGTATAATGTAGTGCAGTGTATAATGTAATGTATGACGTAGTGTATGATGTAATGTATGACGTAGTGTATGATGTAGTGTATGATGTAGTGTATAATGTAGTGTAGTGTATAATGTAGTGTATGATGTAGTGTATAGTAGTGTAGTGTATAATGTAGTGTATGTTGTGTATGGTGTAGTGGTGTATAATGTAGTGTATAATGTAGTGTACAATGTAATGTATAGTGTAGTGTATAATGTAGTGTATAATGTAGTGTATAATGTAGTGTATGATGTAGTGTACAGTCTCTATCACAGTTGCCAATCCGTTCCACCAGTCGGCGCTATTACACTCCACCATCAACCATCAACCATCTCCATCTCTCTACTTCCATCCCTCCACTCCCTCCATCCATCCCTCTCTGGAGGTGATGGCGGTGGTGATGGTAGCGGTGGTGTTGATGGTGGTGATGGTGGCTGTCGTGGTGATGGTGATGGCGGTGGTGATGGTAGCAGTGGTGTTGATTGTGGTGATGGTGGCTGTGGTGGTGATGGTAGCGGTGGTGTTGATGGTGATGGAGGTGATGGTGGTGGTGATGGTGGCTATGGTGGAGGTGATGGTGATGGCGGTGGTGATGGTAGCGGTGGTGTTGATGGTGGTGATGGTGGCTGTGGTGGTGGTGATGGTAGCTGTGGTGGTGGTGATGGTAGCGGTGGTGTTGATGGTGAAGGAGGTGATGGTAATGGTGGTGGTGATGGTGGTGATGGTGATGGCGGTGTTGATGGTGAAGGAGATGATGGTGATGATGGTGATGGTGGCTGTGGTGGTGGTGATGGTGATGGCGGTGGTGATGGTAGCGGTGGTGTTGATGGTGAAGGAGGTGGTGGTGATGACGGTGATGGCGGTGTTGATGGTGAAGGAGATGATGGTGATGATGGTGGTGTTGATGGCGGTGTTGATGGTGAAGGAGGTGATGGTGATGATGGTAACGGTGGTGTTGATGGTGATGATGGTAGCTGTGGTGTTGATGGTGATGGCGGTCGTGATGGTGGCTGTGGTGGTGGTGAAGATGGCGGTGTTGATGGTGAAGGAGGTGATGGTGATGATGGTGATGATGGTGATGGCGGTGGTGGTGGTGATGATGGTTGTGGTGGTGGTGATGATGAAGGAGGTGATGGTGATGATGGTGGTTGTGGTGGTGGTGGTGATGATGAAGGAGGTGATGGTGATGATGGTGGCTGTAATCACCCTTGCCTCTACCTCCACCCCCGACTATCCAGCCCTTCGATGGCTCCGTGGAGGCGATGGCGGTGACGATGGCGGAGAGAGCGTGGAGCGAGAGATGGAGCAGATGGAGGAGGAGCGGAGCGTGCAGGTGCAGGCGAGGTCTGTGCTGGATCTGCTCCGTGACCCGCGGATGCGGAGGCAGATCGTCATCATCGTGGGCGTTAACGTGATGCAGCAGTTCAGTGGCATCAACGCGGTGAGTCTAGCGTAGTGTGTAGTGTAGTGTATAGTGTAGTAGTGTATAGTGTAGTAGTGTATAGTGTAGTGTAAAGTGTAATAGTATAGTGTATAGTGTAGTGTATAGTGTAGTGTAGTAGTGTATAGTGTAGTGTGTAGTGTATAGTGTAGTGTAGTAGTGTAGTGTAGTAGTGTATAGTGTAGTGTAAAGTGTAGTAGTATAGTGTATAGTGTAGTAGTATAGTGTATAGTGTAGTGTATAGTGTAGTAGTGTATAGTGTATAGTAGTGTATAGTAGTGTATAGTGTAGTGTATAGTGTAGTGTATAGTGTAGTGTATAGTGTATAGTGTAGTAGTGTATAGTGTAGTGTATAGTGTAGTAGTGTACAGCGTAGTGTACAGTGTAGTAGTGTATAGTGTAGCAGTGTGACCGCGCAGTGCAGCTCCCTCGCATCGTGCCATCAATGCCGAGAGGCGATCCTCCACGCCGCACGTTGCCCCAGGCTCCCGGGCCGCCCTTCGAGCGACACCGCAGCTGCGCCTTGCTGGCGAAGCAGGCGGTGAGGGCACCAACACCGCGTCCGGGGGGTTGATGCTGGGGGCGTCGCGCGGGACCCACGTGCTGACCGGCAGCCCCAGCTTTCGCCCGGAGTCGAGGGCGCGGGGAAGGGGGCCCTGGCGACGACCGATCGCAGGCGGTCAAACCGCGGTGGGCGAACGATCCAATTCCCCGAGGGCGGACCCAGGAGCAGCGGAGGGAAAACCGCTCTGCACGGACCCCAGCCTCGGTCGGTCGGCCGGCGTCACGGAAGCTCTCCGACCGCGTTGAGCCCCCCCCCCCCTCCAGCGCTCTTTTAGCGTCCTTCCGCAGGAAACACGCAAGGCACCATCCGGAATTGACGGGTTTACTTCAGGCCCTTTTGCGGCAAAAAAAAAAAGAATGGGAAAAAAAAAATCAAAAAATCTGTGGTGGTGTTTTAAGGGTGCTGTGCGTGGGTGCTGGACAAAGTCCAAACGGGTGAGCTCCTCCTGCCGGCGGGCAAGGCTGCGTTGGCCGGGCCATTGTCGCCCCGCGTGCCCAGCCACCCGCATGCCGAAACAGCTTTTGCTCGGGCCGGATCGAGGGGGCTAAACGGGCGCGGCACTGGCTAGAGAAGAGATGGAGTGATGTGGTACAGGAGGCACGGGCTAGAGAAGAGATGGAGTGATGTGGTACAGGAGGCACGGGCTAGAGAAGAGATGGAGTGATGTGGTACAGGTAGGACGTGGAGCTGGGTGGTCCTGCCGATGGCCAGGTACCAGCGGTGTCAAGATCGGCCTCTGTGGAGGAGGCTCGTGAAGGACGCTGCTGGGCGAGTTGGAGGCAGTCGCCCTCCAAGCAACAGCACAGTATTCCTTTCCATCACTTGCGACGTCAACCGAGGGAGTCTACCCGCGCACAGGAAACTCTTCAGCAGCACCGATGGACCCTCGTGGACCCGTTCACCAGAGCAGTACCAGGACCTCGGTCAGCCTGAACATCAGCCTGAAGATAAACCAACGCGATGGGACAGGGGCTCCGAACAAATCCCTCCCGACCGCCCGCCCGCCCGCCCGCCCGACATCACCATCGGCGACCGCACGCCTGGCAGCTGTAAGCAACCCTCGCTTGACCTTGGCACCACCAACACCAACGGAACTGTCCACTCAATTCTAGATTTGAAGCTTTCGTGACTGCAAGCATCCATGCTCTTCGGTTCTATTCGGTAAAAGTCACGTAGTAGGTAAAAGAATAAAATGAAAAACATTTTTTGAAAAAAAACCACGACGTTTCGGCCACAACACAAGTGGCCTTCATCAGGTGAAGGGACCGGACTGTCCAGAGGACAGCGCTGGAGTGAAAACAGCCAAGCCCAGGTCGCGTAACCTTTAAGCTGTGTGGGAGGAAACAAAGGCGCCTTGACAAAGGAATTAGCATAACAATGAGCATGATGTACGTAGGAGGTACATGATGGACCATGATGGACCAGGCGTGGGGGGGACAATGATGGACCAGGCTTGGGGGGGGGGGAGTTTACATAATGTTGGTGTGAAGGGAAAATAAGAAGCTGTGAAAGTTTGGGATACCACTACTTGAAAAAATATACTGTAGCATTGAAAATTAGTTCAATGTTTGGTTTGACTGAGAACATCTTTCCAACGATTGTTTAATTTGAAACCATCCTCTCGGTTGAAATTCTGTCCGCGTTTGTAAATCTGAATTGCCTCGTGGAGAAATCTCTGGCGAAAGCACCCAGCAGCCGTGGAGGAACGACGCTCACAACAACGAGCGGAGCAATGGGTGGCTAAAGCTCAGCAAGGTGGCACAGTAGGGGGCACAGGTGGTGCATCGGTCAGCACCGCTAAGCTACGAACCCACTGACGGCCAGTGGCGATTATTTGAACCGTGCGTGCGTGCATGTATGTGTGCGTGTGCGGAGACACACACGGAGACACACACGGAGACACACAGACACACATACAGAGACACACACAGAGACACACACAGAGACACACACAGAGATACACAGAGACACACACAGATAAACAGACACACAGAGACACACACAGAGACACAGACACACAGTGACACACACAGAGACACAGAAACACACACAGACACACACACACATACAGACACACACACAGACACACACACAGACACACACGGACACACACATAGACACACACAGAGATACACAGAGACACACACACAGACACAGACACACAGAGACACACACAGAGACACAGACAGAGACACACACACAGACACACACAGAGATACACAGAGACACAGACACACAGAGACACACACAGAGATACACAGATACACACACAGAGAAAGACACACAGACACACACACAGACACACACACAGACACACACACAGACACACACACACAGACAACAACAACAACCGCCATTCGCCACTAAGTGGCGGTGACGTCACCACGACGCTTGTGCCAGGCCATGTGCACCTTGAGGCCACGTGAAGTGTCGAACGCCCGCTGGCAGGAGGTCACGGGGCAGACCCAGGTGCCACGGGTCGACTGACTCAGATGACTGGCTGATGCACCACCTGTGGCCCCTACCGTGTCAACCTGCTGTGCTTTAGCCACCCGGCGCTCCGCTCGTTGTTGTGAGCGTCGCTCCTTCGCCCTCCGTTGTTGTTGGAGGGCGACTGCCTCCAACTGCCCAGTAGCAGCGTCCTTCACGAGCCTCCTCCACAGAGGCCGATCTTGACACCGCTAGTACCAGTCATCGGCAAGTCCACTCAGCTCCACGTCCTCCTGTACCACATCACTCCATCTCTTCTCCAGCCCGTGCTGCACCCGTTTAGCCCCCTCGATCCGGCCGAACAAAAGCTGTTTCGGCATGCAGTGGCTGGGCATGCGGGCTACATGACCCAGCCAACGCAGCTTTGCCTGCCGGAGGAGCTCACCGATGGGACATTGCCCAGATCTTTCAAAGATTTGTGAGCTCCTCACACAATCCAGCCTGGTTAAACCCAGGATGGATCGTAGGCAGGCTAGCCTAAATGTTTCTAACCGGCGAAGATGTTCCATTAGGGGGGTCCACGTTTCGCAAGCGTAGAGAAGGGAGGGAATGACCGTGGCCGAGAAGACCTGAAGCTTAGTGCGGAGCGACAGATCAGGTAGCTTCCACACAGCGTTACGCAACCGATGAAAAGATATTGCCGCTCGACTGATTCGGAGTGAGACCTCTGCTGTTAAACTGGAGCCAGTCATAAGCACACTGCCCAGGTATGGGAAACTCTCCACTCACTCCACAACTGCCCCATCACCGATTGGGAGTTGTGGGGGTGGAGTGTCCAATGGTACAAAATACCCAGGCAGGTGCTTAGTTTTGGTGGGGCTGGTGGTAAGGCCCCATCACTTAGTGGCACGCTCCAGTCTCAGCAGCAGCGTCTCCAACTCCTCCTCTGAATGAGCAGCTATTACCAAATAATCGGCATACATAACGTGGTTGAGCAATAGCCATCGCTTGACCGCACCCGGGCATCAATCAGCTTCCCATTATATCTGTACCATATGGAGATTCCCCCGGTACATCTATTGAAGGCTTCACGAACTACGTGGTCAAAATAGATGTTAAATAATGTGGGAGCCAGAGGACATCCCTGTCGCACCCCAAGGTGTACAGGGAATGGCTCTGACTCCCGGCCACGTAGTTTTACCTGGGCCCGCTCACCATCATGAAGGTCCTAAATGATCGTGAGCAGAGGGTCAGGGACTCCAAAATCACTAAGAACAACCCAGAGCCCAGGCGACCTGATGGTATCATAGGCCTTGACTAGGTCAATAAAGCAGAGATGTAGGTCTTGTTGGAATTCCCTACACCTCTGCTGTAGCAGACGGACAGAAAATGTGGCATCTGTGCAGGACCGCCCTTTCCTGAAACCGCATTGGGGCTCCGCTAGCCTCTCCTCAGTGTGCCTGGCAAGGCGATGTTGAATAATCCTTGCCAGGACCTCTCCCGGCACACTGAGGAGTGAGATGCCCCTGTAGTTGTTACAGTCTGTGCGGTCCCCCTTCTTAAAGAGGGGGACCACCAGGGCATCCTTCCAATCCTGCGGAACCCGTCCAGTGGTCCAGACTGTTGTTATGATGTCATATAGGGCAGTCTGTGCACAAACACCACCCTCCCTCAGCATTTCGCTTGGGAGATCATCTCTGCCCGCTGCCTTTCCTGGTCTCAGACTCTGGATCGCCTTCAGTACTTCCTCAACAGATGGCACCTCAGCCAGCCACTCACAGGGGGTGACTTCTTTCAATATTTGAGGCACCGCAGCCTCAGCAGGGTCATCCCCACTTTGTTCCAGGATGTTTTCCTGGCTGAGGGATTTCCCCTCCCCCAGGACCTCACAGAAATGCTCAGCAAATCTGTAAACCTGTTCCTGGGGGTCGGAGATTGGATCACCGTTTTTTCCCGTAATGATGGTAATAGGTGTGGCGCTGCAGGTTACTTTTTTGATGGAGTTAAATAGAGATTTGTGATCGCGGGCCACTGAGGCAGACTCCATCTCCTCAGCAACCCGCGACCACCACCCATCCTTGCAGTGCCTCACGGCTCTCCAAACCTCCGAGAGAAGGCTGCGGTAAGCCTCCTCATTCTCTGATGTCGGATTCTGTAGCCGATGACAGTGGGCCTGTCGCTTTTTCTCAACCATCCTGAACACCTCCTCTGTCAGCCAGGGTCTCTGGGGAGGTCTGGACCATGTACCCAAAGCAGCCATTGCAGCTGCATAAGTGACAGTCCTAAACCTCGCCCATTTACCCTCGACATCAGGAGGAGTGGGGGACGATGGCAACCCCAGCCGCAAGCGATGATGAAATTCTCGCTTGCAACTTTCATCAGATAACTGAGACCAGGCCACTTTAGGTTGGAATTGGGTCCTGGGTGTACACCCACCACTGGAGTGGAAGAATGGCAGGCGCATCTTACAGATGACAAGTCGATGGTCAGTGGGAAGATCAGCTCCACGATAGGTCCTGATGTCAAGGACATGGGCTCGCATCCGCTTGTCCGTCACTACGTAGTCCAGCAGATGTTCTTGCTTGGACCCAGCATGCATCCATGATGTTGTGTGGATGCGCCGATGCCGGAACAGCGTGTTGGTAATTACAAGCCCATGGGCTGCACAAAAATCTAGCAGCCTCCTACCGTTGTTATTGAGCTGATCTGGCCCATATCCTCCAATCACTCCAAACCAGGTGCCAGCATCATGACCAACTCGGGCATTGAAGTCACCCAACAAGATGACTATCCCGAGGGGCCACTTTAGCCAGCACCTGTGACAGGACGTCATAGAAGGCATGTGACTCATCGGCTTTGCCTGCATCCCTCCACGGATGTTCGTCTTCGGTGGGGGCATAAGTAACCACGACCACCACTCCTCGCCTCCGGTTAATGGGAAGGCGAGCCCAAAGTAGCCTGGGGCTTACAGCTTCCCACACCTCACCGCCACGCTCCCACGCCCCCTCCATTCTTTTGTTCAAAAGAAGAACCACACCCTGTTGTTTGTCAGTCTGCTGCCCTGAGTAGAGGACTGTCCACCCCTCATGGTGGCAGGAGCCAGAACCGGTCCACCGGACCTCCTGAATGCCACAGAGATCCAGGCGGTTCCGGTCCAGCTCCCGACAGAGGAGTGGCAGCCTCTCCTCCGCAGTGAGCATTCGAACATTCCACGTGGCCATCCGTAATGGCTTTTCGTTGTTTCTGGAGGAGCCCCGAGGGTAGAGATTCAATCTCCTGGCTCCGCCAATTGGGGTTTGGCCAGGAGACGTCATAGACGCCTGTCCCCCTGGGGCCTCTGGCACAAGCTTATTAGTTACATAATTTAGTCGTAGTTTAGTGGAGGGGTTACCAGCCCCTCGCACCCATCCAGAGCCCCCGTTTAGCCCCAGTGGTGGTCACAGACGTCATGAGGGGAGGAGCCAATCAGAATTGGCCCTCCCCCTCACAAAACTGACCAAGGCAGCGTTGCCCGTCCGGCACCGCGAGGAGGTAGGGGGTTGTTTTGCCGGACACAGAGACACACACACACAGACACACACACAGAGACACACACACAGACACACACAGAGATACACACAGAGAGACACACAGAGACACACACAGAGACACAGATATACACAGAGACACAGACACAGAGATACACAGAGACGCAGACACAGAGATACACAGAGACACAGACACACACAGAGATACACAGAGACACACAGAGATACACAGAGACACAGACACACAGAGACACGCACAGACACACACGCACAGAGACACACGCACAGACACACGCACAGACACACACAGAGACACACACACAGAGACACACAGAGACACACACAGACACACACACACAGACACACACACACAGACACACACACACAGACACACACACACACAGACACACACACAGACACACACACAGACACACACACAGACACACACAATACACACACACAGAGACACACACACACAGACACACACACACACACAGACACACACACAGACACACACACACAGACACACACACACAGGCACACACACACACACAGACACACACACAGACACACACACACCAGACACACACACACCAGACACACACACACACAGACACACACACACAGACACACACACAGACACACACACACACAGACACACACACAGACACACACACACAGAGACACACACAGACACAGACACACACACATAGACACACACAGACACACACACACAGAGACACACACACGCAGACACACACACAGACACACACACAGACACACACACATAGACACACACAGACACACACACAGACACACACACACACGGGTCGTGCTCTTGAACTTATTCCGCAACACCGCGGCGTCTCCTCCCCCTCCACGCCAGATTTACTTCTACGCCTCGTACCTGTTCAAGGAGGCGGGCATCCCACCTGACGAGATTCGCTACGTGACGGTGGGAACGGGCATGGCCGAACTGACCTCCTCCATTGTCTGCGTGAGTCCACGGGAGATTAATAAGGAGGGTGGCGGGGTTAGGGGAGGGAGCCAGGAGGGGCAGGGGGAGGTCACGGGAAAGGTCATCACCGGCGAAGGATGGAATGATTTGGTGATGGTCGCTTCCGAGTGGGTGGGTGGGTTGGTGGGTGAGTGGGTGAGTGGGTGGGTGGGTGAGTGGGTGGGTGAGTGGGTGGGTGGGTGAGTGGGTGGGCGGGTGAGTGGGCGCGTGAGTGGGTGAGTGGGTGAGCGGGTGGGCGATCGGGTGGGTGAGTGGGTGGGTGGGTGGGTGCGTGAGTGGGTGGGTGAGTGGGTGGGTGGGTGAGCGAGTGGGTGAGCGAGTGGGTGGGTGGGTGAGCGAGTGGGTGAGTGAGTGGGTGGGTGAGTGAGTGGGTGAGTAGGTGGGTGGGTGGGTGAGTGAGTGGGTGGGTGAGCAGGTGGGTGGGTGGGTGAGCAGGTGGGTGAGTGGGTGGGTGAGTGGGTGAGTGGGTGAGTAGGTGGGTGGGTGGGTGAGTGAGTGGGTGGGTGGGTGAGCAGGTGGGTGAGTGGGTGGGTGAGTGGGTGAGTGGATGAGTGAGTGGGTGAGTAGGTGGGTGGGTGGGTGAGTGAGTGGGTGGGTGGGTGAGCGAGTGGGTGAGTGGGTGGGTGAGTGAGTGGGTGAGTGAGTGGGTGAGTAGGTGGGTGGGTGGGTGAGCGAGTGGGTGGGTGGATGGGTGAGCTAGTGGGTGAGTGGGTGAGCGAGTGGGTGAGTGGGTGAATGAGTGGGTGGGTGGGCGGGTGAGCGAGTGCGTGGGCGGGTGAGCGAGTGGGTGGGTGGGTGAGCGAGTGGGTGAGTGAGTGAGTGAGTGTCCTTCTCCTCCCTCCCTCCCCTCGCTCCGTCCGCAGGGGATTCTGATCGAGTCGGTGGGTCGACGCCCCCTGCTGATGTTCGGCTTCGCGTCCATGGGCGGCTGCTGCCTTCTGATCGCCGTGTCCATGGCCCTGCAGGTCAGAGGCGTTCAGGACCTGGACACTGGAGGAGGGAGGGAGGAGGGGGAGGAGGAGGAGGGGGTGGAGGAGGAGGTGGGGGAGGGGGTGGAGGAGGGAGGTGGAGGAGGGAGGTGGAAAAGGGAGGTGGAGGAGGTGGAGGAGGGGGTGGAGGGGGTGGAGGTGGAGGATGGAGGGGAGGAGGGGGTGGAGGAGGAGGTGGAGGAGGGAGGTGGAGGAGGAGGTGGAGGAGGGAGGTGGAGGAGGAGGTGGAGGAGGAGGTGGAGGAGGGAGAGGAGGAGGGGGTGGAGGAGGGAGGGGAGGAGGGAGAGGAGGAGGGGGTGGAGGAGGGGGTGGAGGAGGTGGAGGAGGAGGTGGAGGAGGAAGTGGAGGAGGAGGTGGAGGAGGAGGTGGAGGAGGGGGTGGAGGAGGGAGGTGGAGGAGGAGGTGGAGGAGGTGGAGGAGGAGGTGGAGGAGGAGGTGGAGGAGGGGGTGGAGGAGTTGGAGGTGGAGGAGGTGGAGGAGGGAAGGGGAGGAGGAGGAGGGGGTGGAGGAGGTGGAGGAGGGAGGGGGAGGAGGAGGAGGGGGTGGAGGAGGGGGTGGAGGAGGGGGTGGAGGTGGAGGAGGAGGTGGAGGAGGGGGTGGAGGAGGAGGTGGAGGAGGTGGAGGAGGTGGAGGAGGGGGTGGAGGAGGAGGTGGAGGAGGTGGAGGAGGTGGAGGAGCAGGTGGAGGGAGGTGGAGCGTGGAGTTGGGGGGGGGGGGGGTGGCACATGAGAGGAGCAGGAATCCAAAGAGCTATGAAGCTCGTTGTGTCACCCAGGTGCCTATTCAGGCCCCACGTGGCTAAGCTTGCAACACCTTTGGGAGTGCAACGTCCTAGGAAGGTTTGGACACTCAAGCGGGACTGGCACGCACAAACATGCCACTCTACTACAATCAATAAAGTCCTAAAGCATTCGAGACTGCATAAAATTACTCATTCGGGTTTTTTTTTCCGGTAAAGTCACGCACGTAGAAATACAATAAAAATTATATCAAAACAACAACAAAAAAACTATCACGACGTTTCGATCACAACGCAAGCGATCTTCATCAGGTGTCGTCAAGGACGAATCGCGGAGGTTAATAACAACACGAAAAGATGGAGAGACGAGAATTCAACAAACCTGAATGAAACATTAAGTGAAGCCACAACCAGTCAGGCCAACAACACAGTTTAGACACTTCCTGGCGGACCACGAATTTCAGAAGGGTGTTACATTTTCGTGTTCAAACCTTTGGATTGCACGTAGCGGCGTAGACAGAATGAAAAATACGAGGTTACACGGTCAGTGGAAATACATATACAGCTCAAAAAATGGCACATCTTACATTCTATCTACGCCGGTACGTGCAATCCAAAGGATTGAACACGAAATGTGATAGTTTTTTGTTGTTGTTTTAATATAATTTTTATTGTATTTCTACGTGCGTGACTTTACCGAAAAAAAACCCGAATGAGTAATTTTATGCGGTCACGGAAGCTTTAAGACTTTATTGTGACGCTTCTACGGGGAAGTTACCGTTGTAATTGTGTGTTAAGATGTGCCCCTTTTTTGAGCTGCTGTTTTGTATTTACAAGAGGTGGTCATTTTTTGAGCTGCCGTTTTGTATTTACAAGAGGTGGTGGTCCTTTTTTGAGCTGCCGTTTTGTATTTACAAGAGGTGGTGGTCCTTTTTTGAGCTGCCGTTTTGTATTCACAAGAGGTGGTCCTTTTTTGAGCTGCCCCCTCTCTCTCTCTGCCTCCCTGTCCGTCTTTCCTCCTCCCTCCTTACCTCTTGGTGGACTTGTGTATATGTATTTCCACTGACCGTGTACCTCGTATTTTTCATTCTATCTACGCCGGTACGTGCAATCCAAAGGTTTGAACACGAAAATGTAACACTCGTCTGAAATTCGTGGTCCGCCAGGAAGTGTCTAAACTGTGTTGTTGGCCTGACTGGATGTGGCTTCACGTAATGTTTCATTCAGGGTTTGTTGAATTCTCGTCTCTCCATCTTTTCGCTGTTATTAACCTCCGTGATTCGTCCTTGACGACACCTGATGAAGATCGCTTGCGTTGTGATCGAAACGTCGTGATAGTTTTTTTGTTGTTGTTTTAATATAATTTTTATCGTATTTCTACGTACGTGACTTTACCGAAAAAAAACCCGAATGAGTATACTTCAATCTCCCAACATTTCAAGTTACAGAAGCAGCCCTGCCCGACACGAATGAACAGCAGCTCAGCCAAGTGGCGGGTCCGCTCCGTTATTTGGACATTTTTTTAATTCTTTGTAGCAGAAGCAGAAGCAGCCTCCCATCCCAAAAACAGAAAGAGGATGAATCCAGGGTTCGATCCCGGAGCCTGACGGAGCATGTTGCTGTCTATGACGAGTCTGCATCTCTCTCTCTCTCTATCTCTCTCTCTCCACGTGAACATGTTCACATCACCATCATCACCATGATCACCATGATCACCACCATCACCATCATCACCACCACCACAATCACCATAATCACCACCACGATCATCACCACCGCCACCATCATCACCACCGCCACCATCATCACCCCCATCACCATCACCACCGCTACCACCATCAACACCACCACAATCACCATCACCACCATCAACACCACCACCATCATCACCACCACCACTACCACAATCACCATCACCACCACCACCATCATCACCCCCATCACCATCACCATCATCACCCTCATCACCACCACCATCACTACCACCAATCACCATCATCACTACCACCACTACCACAATCACCATCACCACCATCACCATCATCACCACCACCACTACCACAATCACCATCATCACCACCACCATCACCACCATCACCACCCCCATCACCACCAACATCACCACCACCATCACCACCACCACCATCACCACCAACATCACCACAACCACCACCACCATCACCACCACCATCACCACCATCACCACCACCGTGTGTGTCTCCATGTCGGTCTCCTCCAGACGACCATCAGCTGGATGTCCTACCTGAGTGTCGCCATGACCTTCACTTTCATCGTGAGCTTGGGCATGGGACCCGGTGAGGAACGCCTCACCACTCACTCACTCACCCACTCACTCACTCACCCACTCACTCACTCACCTACTCACTCACTCACTCGCCTACTCACCCACTCACTCACTCACCCACTCACCCACTCACCCACTCACTCACTCACCCACTCACTCACCCACTCACTCAGTCAGCCACCTGATCTTCATTGTCCGAAGCTTCCTACGACTGTTGCTGAATGTACTACTACTGGTACTACTACTACTGGTACTACTACTGGTACTACTGGTACTACTACTACTGGTACTACTACTGGTACTACTACTATTGGTACTACTACTACTGGTACTACAACTACTGGTACTACTACTGCTGGTACTACTCTTACTGGTACTACTACTGCTAGTACTACTACTCCTACTGGTACTACTACTGCTGGTACTACTACTACTATTGGTACTACTACTGGTACTACTACTACTGGTACTACTACTACTGGCACTACTACTGCTGGTACTACTACTGGTACTACTACTGGTACTACTACTACTACTGGCACTACTATTACTACTACTGGTACTACTACTGCTACTGGTACTACTACTACTGCTACTACTACTACTACTGGTACTACTACTACTGGTACTACTACTGGTACTACTACTACTGGTACTACTACTGCTACTACTACTGGTACTACTACTACTGGTACTACTACTGGTACTACTACTACTGGTACTACTACTACTGGTACTACTACTACTGGTACTACTACTGGTACGACTACTACTGGTACTACTACTAGTACTACTGCTACTGCTGGTACTACTACTACTTCTACTGGTACTACTACTACTGGTACTACTACTACTGGTACTACTACTACTACTGGTACTACTACTGCTGGTACTACTACTACTACTGGTACTACTACTACTACTGCTGGTACTACTACTACTACTGGTACTACTACTACTTCTACTGGTACTACTACTACTACTGGTACTACTACTACTGCTACTTCTGGTACTACTACTACTACTGGTACTACTGCTACTACTACTACTGCTACTATTGGTACTATTACTACTTCTACTGGTACTACTACTACTGGTACTACTACTACTGCTACTACTGCTACTACTGGTACTACTACTACTACTGGTACTACTACTACTGCTACTACTGGTACTACTACTTCTACTGGTACTACTACTACTGGTACTACTGCTACTACTACTACTTCTACTGGTACTACTACTACTACTGGTACTACTACTACTGCTACTACTGGTACTACTACTACTGGTACTACTACTACTTCTACTGGTACTACTACTACTACTGGTACTACTACTACTGGTACTATTACTACTGGTACTACTATTACTACTACTGCTACTTCTGGTACTACTACTACTTGTACTACTACTGGTACTACTGGTACTACTACTACTATTACTACTACTACTGCTACTTCTGGTACTACTACTGGTACTACAACTACTGGTACTACTACTGGTACTACTACTGGTACTACTACTACTGGTACTTCTACTACTACTGGCACTACTGCTGCTGGTACTACTACTACTGGTACTACTACTACTGGCACTACTACTACTGGTACTACTACTACTGGTACTACTACTGGTACTACTACTACTGGTACTACTACTACTGGTACTACTACTACTACTGGTACTACTACTGCTACTACTACTGGTACTACTACTACTGGTACTGCTGCTGGTTCTCTCTCCGCCAGCCGGGATCGTCGGACTGCTCCCCACGGAGCTTTTCACGCAGGACGCTCGTCCAGCAGCCTACACAATCAGCGGCTCCACCTACTGGGTCAGCTTCTTCGTCATTGGCCTACTCTTCCCGTTCCTCATGGTGCGTCACTCACGCACCCACGCACCCACAAACCATCACCACGTGTCCCTCCCTCCCCCATTCCTCATCCTCCTCATCATCCTCCTGTGTGTGTGCTGGGCGTGGACCACGCCACCTGTCTGTGTGTGGACCACGCCACCTGTCTGTGTGTGTGCTGAGTGTGGACCACGCCTCCTGTCTGTGTGTGTGCTGGGTGTGGACCACACCTCCTGTCTGTGTGTGTGTGCTGGGAGTGGACCACGTCACCTGTCTGTGTGTGTGCTGGGTGTGGACCACGCCTCCTGTCTGTGTGTGTGCTGGGTGTGGACCACGCCACCTGTCTGTGTGTGTGTGCTGGGTGTGGACCACGCCACCTGTCTGTGTGTGTGCTGGGTGTGGACCACGCCACCTGTCTGTGTGTGTGTGCTGGGTGTGGACCACGCCACCTGTCTGTGTGTGTGCTGGGTGTGGACCACACCTCCTGTCTGTGTGTGTGTGCTGGGCGTGGACCACGTCACCTGTCTGTGTGTGTGTTGGGTGTGGACCACGCCTCCTGTCTGTGTGTGTGCTGGGTGTGGACCACGCCACCTGTCTGTGTGTGTGTGCTGGGTGTGGACCACGCCACCTGTCTGTGTGGGTGCTGGGTGTGGACCACGCCACCTGTCTGTGTGTGTGTGTGCTGGGTGTGGACCACGCCACCTGTCTGTGTGTGTGCTGGGTGTGGACCACACCTCCTGTCTGTGTGTGTGCGCTGGGTGTGGACCACGCCTCTTGTCTGTGTGCTGGGTGTGGACCACACCTCCTGTCTGTGTGTGTGCGCTGGGTGTGGACCACGCCTCTTGTCTGTGTGTGTGCTGGGTGTGGACCACACCACCTGTCTGTGTGTGTGCTGGGTGTGGACCACGCCACCTGTCTGTGTGTGTGCTGGGTGTGGACCACACCTCCTGTCTGTGTGTGTGTGTGCTGGGTGTGGACCACACCTCCTGTCTGTGTGTGTGCTGGGCGTGGACCACGCCACCTGTCTGTGTGTGTGTGTGCTGGGTGTGGACCACGCCTCCTGTCTGTCTGTGTGTGTGTGTGCTGGGTGTGGACCACACCTCTTGTCTGTCTGTGTGTGTGTGCTGGGTGTGGACCACGCCACCTGTCTGTGTGTGTGCTGAGTGTGGACCACGCCTCCTGTCTGTGTGTGTCTGCTGGGTGTGGACCACGCCACCTGTCTGTGTGTGTGCTGGGTGTGGACCACGCCTCCTGTCTGTGTGTGTGCTGGGTGTGGACCACGCCACCTGTCTGTGTGTGTGCTGGGTGTGGACCACACCTCTTGTCTGTGTGTGTGCTGGGTGTGGACCACGCTTTCCGCGAGCAATGTCATCCGTGATTCTGGGGGGGGGGTGGGCCACCACCCGACACGGACAATTAGTTAGGGGGCCGTCCATGAATGACGTCACGCACCTAGGGGGGAGGGGGGGGCGGGGCGGATAGAGAAATGTGACGTCACGCCAAAACGCGCAACTTTGAATCAATATGGACAACGCGTTCTGCTCGATCGAATGACAATAGTTTAAAGCGATTTGAAGCACGTTTTGACGTAACAAAAAAATAATTGGGGGGTGGAGGGCGGGTGGAGGGTGGGGGGGGGCAGAGCTTTGTGACGTCATATTTGAGGGGTGTGGCGGGGGGGGGCGTCTCACTTTTTGTGACGTAGTGTGACGAGTGAGGGAGGGTGGTGGTCAGAAACCGTCCAAAATCGCGTGACGTCATTTATGGATAACTACACTATACACTACTACCCTACACTATACACTACACTGCACTATACACTACTACACTACACTATACACTGCTACACTCCACTATACACTACTACACTATACACTACTACACTACACTATACACTACTATACTATACACTACTACACTCCACTATACACTACTACACTACACTATACACTACTACACTATACACTACTACACTACACTATATACTACTACACTATACACTACTACACTTCACTATACACACTATACACTACTATACTATACACTACTACACTCCACTATACACTACTACACAATACACTACTACACTACACTATATACTACTACACTATACACTACTACACTTCACTATACACACTATACACTACTATACTATACACTACTACACTCCACTATACACTACTACACAATACACTACTACACTACACTATATACTACTACACTATACACTACTACACTTCACTATACACACTATACACTACTATACTATACACTACTACACTACACTATACACTACTACACTATACACTACTACACTATACACTATTATACTATACACTACTACACTACACTATACATTACTACACTATACACTACACTATACACTACTACACTATACACTACTACACAATACACTATTACACTATACACTACTACACTACACTATACACTGCTACACTATACACTACTACACTATACACTACTACACTATACACTACTACACTCCACTATACACTACTACACTATATACTACTATACTATACACAACTACACTACACTATACACTACTACACTATACACTACTACACTATACACTACTACACTATACACTACTACACTACACTATACACTACTACACTACACACTACTACACTACACTATACACTACTACACTACACACTACTACACTACACGATATACTACTACACTATACACTACTACACTAGACTTTACACTACTACACTACACACTACTACACTACACTATACACTACTACACTACACACTACTACACTACACGATATACTACTACACTATACACTACTACACTACACTACACTTTACACCACTATACTATACACTACTACACTACACTATACACTACACTATACACTACTACACTACACTATACACTACTACACTATACACTACTACACATACACTACTACTCTACACTACACACTACTACACTACACAATACACTACTACACTACACTATACACTACCTACACCATACACTACTACACTACTATACTACACTATGCACTACTACACTATACACTCTACACTACACTATACACTACTACACTATACACTACTACACAATACACTTCTACACTACACTACACACTACACTATACACTACTACACTACACTATACACTACTACACTATACAGTACACTACTACACTACACTATACACTACTACACTACACTACACACTACAGTATACACTAGTACACTACACTACACACTACACTCTACACTACACTACTACACTACACACTACACTATACACTTCTATACACTACACTACTATACACTACACTATTCACTACTATACACTACACTATTCACTACTACACTATACACTACTATAAACTACACTATACACTACACTAGACAACACTACACTATACACTACTACACTATACGACTACACTATACACTACACTATACACTACTACACTATACACTACTACACTATACACTACTACACTATACACTACTACACTATACACTACTACACTATACACTACACTATACACTACACTATACACTACTACACTATACACTACTACACTATACACTACTACACTATATACAACACTATACACTCCTACACTATACACTACTTCACTATACACTACTACACTATACACTACTACACTATACACTACTACACTATATGACTACTACACTATACACTACTACACTATACACAACACACTACGTCTGTGTCACCCCAACACAGAAGTTCATGGGCCCCTACTGCTACCTCATCTTCTTCGCCGACTGCGTCACCGCCTCCTTGCTCGTGTTCTGCCTCCTGCCCGAGACCAAGGACCGCTCCTTCCTCGACATCTCCCGCCAGCTGCAGCAGATGAGCCTCGGGGTGAACGGGGGCCCCGCTGGGGGGCCCACCGGGGGCCCCACCGGGGGGCCGGCTGGGGGGCCACCCGCCGCCACCGCCGGCACCGCCGCCACGCGAGCGATCGGCGCGGAGGAGGACGCTGGGACGGTGTCAATGTTGACGCGGCTGTGAGGATCTCTCCCCCCTCCCCCCCCCCCCCCCCCCCCCCCCCCCAGTTTCCCGCGGTTGCGTTGAGATGCCCTAACCGCCGGACGGATTAAACCTTCGGCAAGGAACGAAGTCTTGCCGCGTCAAAGTGCACCCACCGCATGCGGGTACTTGTGAACAGCCTGTTTCTAGCTTGGTTGCGTTTTTATTTTTTTTGTTAACGTCGGACACGCTTTTGTAGTGGCGACTCGAAGCACGTCTCCTGAGATGGCACTTCATTGGAGGCACGTTTCGCTTGACGTCCCGGCGGAGACTCCGACTCGAAACAGCCCTGAGTCTCCCGCGCATCTCCCATTTTATCTCAATTGCGAGGTCACGTGCCCACCTAACCCCCCCCCCCCCCCCCCCCCCGCCCCCCCCCCCCCCCCCCCCCCCCCCCCCCCCCCCCGTTCTCGATCATTCTTCTACTCGAACATTCTCGAAGCCACCAGTCCCTTCGCACTCACAGCTGACTCCCCCGTCATTACCTCCCGTGGCCACTAATCTCTTCGCACTCACAGCTGACTCCCCTGTCATTACCTCCCGTGGCCTCTCCTGCATTCATACCGTAGGCTGACTCCCCTGTCATTACCTACCGTGGCCACTAGTGCATTCACACCACAAGCTGACTCCCCTGTCATTACTTCCCCTGGCCACCAGTGCATTCGCACCGTAGGCTGACTCCCCTGTCATTACCTCCCGTGGCCACTAGTGCATTCACACCACAAGCTGACTCCCCTGTCATTACCTCCCGTGGCCACTAATGCATTCACACTGTAGGCTGACTCCCCTGTCATTACCTCCCGTGGCCACTAGTGCATTCACACCACAAGCTGACTTCCCTGTCATTACCTCCCATGGCCACTAGTGCATTCACACCGTAGGCTGACTCCCCTGTCATTACCTTCCGTGGCCACTAGTGCATTCACACCGTAGGCTGACTCCCCTGTCATTACCTGCCGTGGCCACTAGTCCATTCACACCACAAGTTGACTCCCCTGTCATTACCTCCCGTGGCCACTAGTCCATTCACACCACAAGCTGACTCCCCTGTCATTACCTCCCGTGGCCACTAGTGCATTCACACCGTAGGCTGACTCCCTTGTCATTACCTCCCGTGGCCACTATTGCATTCACACCACAAGCTGACTCCCCTGTCATTACTTCCCGTAGCCGCTAGTGCATTCACACCGTAGGCTGACTCCCCTGTCATTACCGCCCGTGGCCACTAGTGCATTCACACCACAAGCTGACTCCCCTGTCATTACCTCCCGTGGCCACTAGTCCATTCACACCAGAAGCTGACTCCCCCGTCATTACCTCCCGTGGCCACTAGTTCATTCACACCACAAGCTGACTCCCCTGTCACTACCTCCCGTGGCCGCTAGTGCATTCGCACCATAGGCTGACTCCCCTGTCATTACCTCCCGTGGCCACTAGTTTCCTCACACCGAATGCAGGCTCTATTTTAATTACACGGAATCAAATTGACCACAACCGCGCGGTACTTGTGGTGAACACGTGGTATTAATTTTCTTTCACACTTTGATTCTGCCAAAGAAAGGTCCCATTTTGTGAGGGTCTTTGTTTGGTGTCTGATAACTTTCGTTCTATCCACTTCTGGTGTGTGTCTGTTAAACTTTCCTCTGGGTTACTTTCATTCTTTCCACACTGGTGGTGGGTGTGTAGCCTCGCCATCTGCGTGTGTTCATAGGAGGTGCAGGGGTGGTGAAGGACAACAAACTTAACACAGCAACAACAACAACAACAAGCTGTTCTAAAGGCATGAGTTTTCAATTTAGTATTGTGGTGTAGTGTATAGTAGTGTCACCACGGCGCTTGTGCCAGGCCAGGTGCACGTTGAGGCCACGTGAAGTGTTGAACGCCCGCTGGCAGGAGGTCACGGGGCAGACCCAGGTGCCACGGGTCGACTGACTGAGATGACTGAGATGACTGGCCGATGCACCACCTGTGCCCCTTACTGTGCAAACTTTGCTGCGATTTAGCCACCCGGCATTCCGCTCGTTGTGAGCGTCGCTCCTCCGCCCTCCGTTGTTGTTGGAGGGCGACTGCCTCCAACTGCGCAGTAGCGTCCTCCACGAGCCCAAAGTAGCCTGGGGCTTACAGCTTCCCACACCTCACCGCCACGCTCCCACGCCCCCTTCATTCTTTTGTTCAAAAGAAGAGCCACACCCTGTTGTTTGGCAGTCTGCTGCCCCGAGTAGAGGACTGTCCACCCCTCGTGGTGGCAGGAGCCAGAACCGCTCCACCAGACCTCCTGAATGCCACAGAGACCCAGGCGGTACCGGTCCAGCTCCCGACAGAGGAGTGGCAGCCTCTCCTCCGCAGTAAGTGTTCGAACATTCCACGTGGCCATCCGTAGTGGCTTTTCGTTGTTTCTGGAGGAGCCCCGAGGGTAGAGATTCAATCTCCTGGCTCCGCCAATTGGGGTTTGGCCAGGAGACGTCATAGACGTCTGTCCCCCCGGGGCCTCCGGCACAAGCTTATTAGTTACATATTTCAGTTTAACTCGTGGTATAGTGGTAATTAATTGGAGGTGGAGGGGTTACCAGCACCTCGCACCCATCCAGAGCCCCCGTTTAGCCACTGTGGTGGACACAGACGCCATGAGGGGAGGAGCCAATCGGAATTGGCCCTCCCCCCACAGCACTGTCCACGACAGAGTTGCCCGTCCGGCACCACACACACACAGACACACAGACAGACACACACAGACAGACACACACACAGACACACACAGACACACACACACAGACACACACACAGACACACACACAGACACACACACACACACAGAGACACACACACAGACACACAGACAGACACACAGACAGACACACACACAGACACACACAGACACACACACAGACGTTCTTCGATGGGGAGCGGTGGCACTCCTCATTATAATATAAACAAAGGCAAAGGCACCACTCACTCCCACTCCCTTAATAAACAAGACAGAGATCCCCCGTGTAGTCTCCAACAAGGCTGTTGGGGCAAGTGCTGAAGGTATCGAGTAGAAGCACCTATGAAGGCTACCGCCACTGGCATACGAGGGGGTGGGTAGCCAGCACCACGCCCGGCCGGCTTTGTCTCCCCGGTGGCGATGTTGACCACTACACACCACCACTGCACCAGGTACTCATTTTAGGCTGAGTCCACCTAGGGGAGGAGATGCAAGACCGGTTCAGAGTTTCGTGACTGCAGGGATTCATATTCCGGTAAAGTCACCACCACGTAGAAGGGAAACAATAAAATAATAAAAATATAAAACAATCAAATTCTCACGACGTTTCGACTGCAACACCAAGCAGCAATCATCATCAGGGTGTGAAAACCACAGCAAGAAAATTTGAAAAAAGTTGTTTTTTTTAAACGTTAGCACCATGGAGAGCGATTTGGCATATTGTTCAGGTGGACGAGTTCATCTATGTTCGGAAAAGCGGAGGGAGAAGACGAAAATAATGGATGCTGTCTGAAAGCCACCGTAAGTGTGAACGATCAATTAAGACCCGAGATGGTTGATCAAATCCTTCCAATGATTGCTAAGCCAGAATCCATCTTCTCGGTTGAAATTGTCTCTGTGTCTGTATATGTGGATAGCCTCATGAACGAATCTCTCATGGTAGCCAGATGGCTTGCAAAGAACCTCTGTCTTGGAGAAGTCAATGTCATGTGAACCTACTGAATTATGACAATGATCTGCCACGGCCGAGGTGTTCATCCTACCGTGTTTCAAGTCTGCTTTGTGTTCACGAATGCGGTGCGAGACATGTCGTTTGGTTTCTCCAATGTAACTACTACCACAGAGGCAACTTAGTTTGTAGACGCCAGGGTACTGTATGTCCGGAATCACATCTTTTACCGACGGAACCAGATCACGGATTTTATGTAATGTGTTGAATCGGACCTGGATCTTGTGTTCATTCAAGATTTTGGAGATCTTTTTTGTGATCCCCGCAATGTAGGGTAAAGTGATGGTTTTGAAAGGCTCCTCAAGAGGGTCCTTCTTCATGGTTGGAGTGATAGCTTTGCGGATTGTGTAGTCGGAGTAACCATTAGCCTTAAGAGCTTAGTGTACGTGCTTGAGTTCACTGGCTATGTGTTCCTGGTCGGATATGCATTGGGCTCTATGGTGAAGAGTCTTGATGAGGGAATTCTTCAGGGATGGATGGTGGTGGGAATCCGGTTTTAGGTAAGCATCCGTATGGGTAGCTTTCCTGTAGACAGAGTGGCTCATTGAACCATCAGGTCTCTTTTACTAGGACATCCAAAAAAGGTAGCTTGCCATCTTTTTCGACTTCCATGGTAAATCTGATGGCTGGGTGTATGGAATTGATGTGGTCGAGGAATTGGTCTAGAGCAGGCCGGCCATGTGGCCAGATGACAAAAGTGTCATCCACGTACCTCTTCCATAAGGTTGGGCGCAGAGTGGCAGTCTGGATGGCGTCAGTCTCAAATGTATCCATGAAAATGTTGGCTACAACTGGAGATAGGGGGGAAATACGTACCAATAATACTTCACTTGGAATGGAACTTTCTACAAACAAACTGAGGGCACCCCAATGGGCCAAATCGCTCTCCGTGGTGCTAACGTGAAAAAAATAAACGCCACTTTTTTCAAATTTTCTTGCTGTGGTTTTCACACCTGATGATGATTGCTTCGTGTTGCAGTCGAAACGTCGTGAGAATTGTATTGTTTCATATTTTTATTATTTTATTGTTTCCCTTCTACGTGGTGGTGACTTTACCATAAGAACCAAGAATATGCTATCATTGGTGTAGGTGGGCCTTGAGCGGGAATCGAACTCAGGTCGCCAGGTTCATAGCGCAGAGTAGCGCTAACCGCTGCACCACCGCTCCCCACAACTCCCTTAATAAACACACGGACACACACTCACCCACCCACATGTCCCCCCCCCCGCCCCTCTTTCACGTGTGATTATTAAAAATTATCGGCATAT